ATATATATATATATGGGTATCTAGTAGACATAGTTTTTGCATATTCTTTGGGCTAGATTCAATGACTCCCTTGATTGACCGAATGCTGCCAGCATAGGAGGTGAATGCAGCTTCGGCATTGCGGATAGCTACCATGGCTTCCTCTTTATAGGAGGCATTCTCAGGCAAGTCAATCTTACCATCCTCAACTCGCAAGGCATACAGCCTCTCAAGCTCGGCACGAACTGTTTTAATGTTCGCCAACCTCTCAGTGAGCTCCTTCCTGAAGCCACCCACCAAGTTTTCTGTCCTCAAGCTGAGATGAGGCCCCTTAAATGAATTCATGTTAAAACATGCAACAAATTGAAACAATGGTAGCATGGGTTGTGGGTCGGATGAATGCTGGCAAGTATCAGTCCAATTTTGTTTTCAGCAAGTTTCGAATCCCATGACAACACATCGGTCATCTTGGTAGAGCATGCTCCAATGCTGGTCGACAACCTTCGACTCAGTGGCTTCGCCTTTTTGTTGTTCTCTGGTTCATTTTCATCAACCCTCCCAGGAACTGTTCCCTGACCTTGACCGGGTGCCTTCATGGCTGCTACTGAAGGTCCCAAAGCCATTTGCCTGGGCAGGTGCTGTGGCTGTGTGGTGAAGACACCCAGGGTTTGGAATGGGAATCAGCCAGGATAAATACATCAACATATCAACAAAGAACTCAAAAACAGGTCAAGGGTACAGAACTTGTTTGGAAGCTGTCTCGTCGAAATCACCACGTCCCTGGAGCTCCATTGATGTTGTATCCACTTGCTCATCTTCAAACTCAAGAGCATCCCATATGCGTAGCAATGCCCAATCCTTACTATCTAGGCCACCGGGTCCCACTCCCAACCCCCAGGTCATTTGACGCGCTCGAAAACTACCAGCTGCATGACAGACCTGCGTTTTGATGTCACAGCTCCTTGTCACGGAAGCCAGGGGGGACAGAGACCTGTGGGGCAAATGACAAAAGACCCAAATATGTGTTTTGTGAAGTACAAGGCTCTTCATTGTCTCGAGCCTCCGGGTGAGGCATGTAGTAGGTGGTGCTGCTTTTTGACCTCCCAATAGGGTAACATCACGTGACGGCCTCTGCGTTTTTGGGAAGAAGATTGGGTCAGTCTGCTGTGCAGAGACGACATCATCCACACTTCTCCGCTTTGGATCCAGTCTTCAAACATCATGGGCAGAATATTGGCACCTTGGTGCATAGACATGTTTCAGAAAGTACCCCTACAGGACTCTATGCACACCACTCAACCACACAAGACAAATTGCCAATTGGCAAATAGAAGAAACATGTCTTGCGGGTGTTCCACAACTCCAAAATCTTGGGTGGGCAAGCTGGCGAGTTGAAAGTCCTTTGGAAACGCATTCTTGTGTTGTGAGCCAACCTTTCCACATGCTCATGGAGTTTCCTCACTGCCTCGTCCTTCAGGAGTCCAACGTGATCTTGAGACCTCCCCCACCCCATACACAACAAACACAAGGCCCCCAAATTTATGAACATGTTCTTTCATAAATACGTCCTCCAACTGGGTGGTGTCCTTCCTTCCCAACATGCTCGCAACCGCCTCAGGCATACTTGGAGTGGCAGCCGCGCGCTCCACCAGCACGTTTCCAGGTTCCTGCGAAGAAGGCCAGGCCGTCCAACAAAGTTTGGTGTGAGTCAATGAGGTCTTCCAACACAAGCCAACCCCGCCCCTAAAAGACAATGTTTGTTGTGTCCTTTTACTACCACTACCAGAACACCTTCCAAAACAGCTAAAAGAAGGACACTGCCACCAATTGTCTTTTAGGGTCTGTGGGCCTCTACCTGGTTGGTACCAAAGGGCCTCGTTAGTTCCACTAGATACCAGACATATCTCTCTTCAAACTCTTTTCGCCTACTACCATTATGATTTGGAACATTGGGCCTCAACAGGGCTTGTGGCTGCCACCTCCAGTACTGCCATCATAGCTCTCTTCTCAGGACCATTGTCCAGCTTTTGAACACAAGTCAATGCTCTAGTAGCAGCATTGAGGTGAGGGACACCATCAGTCTCATCACCCAATGGCTCTTGAGGATCTTGAAGAGGTGCATCTGTGAGTGTCAACTCACCAAACTTGGAATCTAGTTCCTGAAGCAATTCCCGGCACACCTCATCACCAGGACCTTCTAGAAGTGCGATCAGATGGTCGACTGCCTTGTCCAGTTCTAGGTCCACACGTTCAATCTTAGACCTTTCACACTGGACAGATGTAAACGCCTCAGAGATCTTGCCCTTCCGCCATGCTTCAAGTTCAATCTTTTTGGCATCAAGGCTAGGTAACAATACCGGTTTCGAAGACTCCGCTGACACCATTCTGGACCACTTTGCCAACTGGATTTGCTCCGCTTTGAGAATCTGAACACATCGGCCTTCGTACTGTTCCTCAAGTTCCTTTAGCTTACTGTAAGCAGATTCTTTCTCACATAGCAAGTTCCAAATACTTTTGACCGACAAGTCATGACCACACCCTTGATTTGATGTAGGCCCCATGCAGTTTATCCATTCGATAACCCGGCCCTTGGCACCCTTTGAACCTTTGCAGCCACCAATGCCCAAGACAAAGTCATGCAAGTTGCCCGGCTTGGAGGTGTCATCATACATCACTTCATCCCCTAGATCTAGAGCCGAAGGAGGGGTCCCAGTCTCACCAAGAAGTAGTGTAGATGCAGTCAATGTACGTCGCATCTGAAGTGGTGCCCTACCTTAATTAAGCAGATTAATTAATGAATTTCTCCAAAATTTGGTTTGTACTTTGTCCCAAGTCCAACTTTCTTGGTTTCAAACATTGAAGAAGGTTGATGTGTCTATCGATGAGCAACTTCCATCAGTCTTTGATGACAGGACTGACTCCGGCGTCGCGCTAACCGCAGGTCCATTGGCCCCTGGATTCACCTTGCAGGCATGGGCATATGCACCAGGGGACTGGAATTGATGGAACAATAGTTTTGTTTTACACTTGTGAGTAAAACAAACGTCATGTTTTCACAATATAGTGCCTCACGTGGGACTTCTCTCTTCACCTTCTTAAGAAGAGGGCTTCTGATGGGTGTGAACCCCTTCTTCTCACTGACCGGTTGAAGGGGCTTCTTCACTGTACGGATAGGAGTCGATGCTGCTGCGGCTGTTGGAGCCATGCCTGGCAAGGAATGGTTCTGCGCAGATCTTTGATTTATATATATATATATATCAATGTGTTTCTGGAAGAAGATACACTTTAAGCACATATATATAGTACTGTGCTCTTGAAAAAACAAAGATTGTATAAAAGCTTGATGTTGTAGCATAACCATGGCACCAGCTCCAGCATTGACCTGCGCCTGCGACACCCTTTCGTTGAGCTTGAGCATCTCCCTGTCCAAATTGAATGATTCCCTCGAGGAATGTGACTTTGCCTAGGGGCTGGGTGAGCGGCTCCAATTCAATCTGTTTTTTTAAAAGAAAATATTAATGCTTTTGGAAGTCATTTGCACATTTTTGAACTACTTTTTTCAACCTCCCACCTCCGATGTGGCTGGTGATGCCCTGGATTTGGCGGCTGTGGGTCGCTCAGCCGACATCCTCCTTCCAGGTCATCATATGTTTGATGTGAGCATACCACAGGACCGTGTTTGTGACCACATATAGTACCTCCCCTGCCTGAAGTTGCCTCACTCTAGAGGAATTTTGGTGAATTCCAAAATAACGCAAAATAACGCCTAGAAGTCCCTGAGCACGTACCTATAACGCAAAATAACGCGACCCCCGGTCAGAGGACAGTCTATGTTTTTTGTACACAGCTTTTGATTTTATAGTATTTTTTGATTTTTTTTACATTTTTCGAAAAAAATAGATTTTTGTACATTTTGCCTTAATTTATGTACATTTTGATTTTTTCACAATTTTGTGTACATTTTACATTTTTTTACATTCGAAAATAGCTACCCACCAAATGTACACCATAAATCCTTTACATTTTAAATGTATACATCCAAAAAAAATATATAAATATTACATTTTTAATGTACAAATAAAAACAAAAATGTACACAGCAAAATGTACCTGTTTTTTTGCAAAATGTACTGTACACACAACACCAGCGCTGTACATTATGAATATGTACAGCTGTGTACTAGCTAGCTAGTACACATTTAAAAAAAAAATAAAGAAAATGTTGAATCGAAATTCAACCTTTGTAGCTAATTTCTCCCATCCCGGTCCTCCTCCCTAAAGCACCAGGCTCCACACAAGGCTGTCCGCCAAAACTGCCCAAAGCGGTTTTAAAATGCTGCGGAGAGATCCACAAAACTCGTGCAGATATGCATCGATGAGAACACGCAATTGTGACATTTATTTGTCATGTGACCTGGGTCTCCTCAAGTATTGCGTGTGAGAACCCTTGAGAACTACTACTTCGACGGCAGCCTCAATGTCAGGGACTTCCATCAAACACTAGCGAGGCACAGCTCCTGGATCCGATCGATAGACTGGCCACCATGGTGGCGTGACTCCTTCTGGCATCAAAACCCAGGAAGCAGCCGATACAGAGGCTCCTTCACAACTCTACACTGCACACGTGCAGTTTTCAAGCCGTTTTGGATTGCATCCAGTTGACCGCTCTTGATTCTGAATTAGCACTGTGGGTAGTGGCTTCAGTCCCACCCATGAAACAACCTCCTCTTTCTTGATTGGAGCTGCCAGCACCGCACAGTTATGCCAGTCAATGGCTTTGGGTTTTGGATTGCTGCAATGCTTCACACAGCTGCCATCGCAAAAAAAATGGTCCAAGCAGGCCTCATTGAAAGTTTTACTTAATGTCAACACAACCAGAACAACATTGTTCTTTCCCTACCAACCCTCCCCCTACCTGATATGACAGGTGGTCAGTGGTCCTGACACTCAGTGATTGGTCTTCCAACAAAGCTATTCTAGAACTAGAGTGCCGGTATATTTGTTTTTTTGTTATCACATTCAACCCAAAGCTCTTTCAGAGGCCTTTTGGGCAGTGGCCCTGCAGGGTGAAATTTGAATGGGGATCAAAGGGTCTGGAATGTATTTCCCTCCCTCGATCGCCGCGTGGATGAACTCCACGAAAGGTTGGAGCTGTGCATACTCCCAGCATCCTGGTGGTGGCTCCTGGGTCAAGGCACAGCCGAATGGGCTCAGGGAAACTCGAACTGTTCTCATATATATGGCATGGAAACCTGACCCCCCCCGAAGTACCCTTTTGATCATTCTAAAACCCTTATTAATTTTAAGCTATTGATAGGGCCTTACGGGGTGCAGGTGTTCATGGCCAAGCTGCAAGGAAACTTGACATGGGTTTCATATACTTATAAAGTTTCTCCTGGTAGCCATGTTCTCGAATGAAGGTCACCAAGTCAGGACATGGAGAATCCTCAATTCTGCACACGTGGATT